TTACTATTTTTTGAGATTTATATAAAAAAATATATATATACTTATCAATTTGACCCTGAATAACATGCTCCGGCCATTAGTTGTTTAACTCGATCATAAGTAGGAAGCCCACAAATCTAGACGCCCGTGACGTGGTTGACACGGTATAATTGTCGGCTATCTTGGATTTAAAACCCCTCCAAACAAACTCTCATCAATGTTACGTCATGTACTCCAGTGGTCTGGCAAGAAGAACATCAGGCAGCAGGGCACATTCTCCTTCGTTTAAAAGGGTTGTAGGACGTTTGAAAAACTGAGGGAACAAAACGTAAGATCAATATGTTCGTCTGTTTGAAATGAACAAACGCACGCCAGAAAAGGCGACGGAAACTGCAAACTCGAGTCTGGCGTCGTGGGTTCTTGATGGCCGACATTGGTTGGAACTGGGAACAGATGACCCGTGCTCCAGACTTCCGGTTTAGCAACTAGTGGATCCGGAGTACTCCTTTTTAGCCCTTGACAACAGCAACATGGCAAAAACTTGTGTAGACTCGGTCTACTGGCTCACCTGTAGACCGAAAGGTACAAAACTTGTCACGTCAACGTTTTTCATCCTCACCGCTTTCTCCTCAAACACCCTTTCCTGACATTCTCCCCAAAAAATTCACCAATTCTTTTTCTTCCCTTATCCCCCCATTAGCAAGTCATGAGCCCATGTCCGGGTATCCATCACTTTTGATGTATGATATCACTATCAGAATTGCACTGCTTAGTTAAGTGGGAGTTTCTTGATTGAAGGTGGGAGTTTTTCTGCCTGGAAAGGATTTCTCCAAGTGTTTCGCACGATTGGGACTGATGAAATTCACAATCTTCCGTTGCACTTTTTATACCGTTATCTGTTTCGCTCTTTATTATATTATTATTTTTTATTTATAAATATTATTTTTATTTTTTTAAAAAAATTTAATAACTATTAATTGATTAAAAATTAAATATAATAATCTCAAAAAAAGTAATATATAATAAAAAAATTAAAAATACTGCAAAAAAATCATTAAAAAATCTCTTTTTTATGCATTTTTATTTTTTAAATTTATTAAATTTATTAAATTTTGTATATTGCTCAATTAATAATTATTTAATTTTAAGACAATAAAAAGTTATATATATAATATAATATTGACGAAGGAAAAGCAGTGATATAATAAAAGGCGAAGCAAAAAGTGATACAAAGGTGAAATAGAAGATCCATTGCAATGAAATTGGTTGTTTGTTAGGAATTTTACCGGTCAGCTGATGTGGCAATTGCCGAGCCACTCGGTTCACAAATGGGATCGTAGACCGGATCAACCCAATTTTTTTGCCAATCTGAGTAGTCACATCGTGGCGCACCAACCAGCAGCCACACAAACGATAGGGACGCGAGGAGCAATTGGACTTGGATCAGTCATGAGTCAGAGATGGTGGCGCACATACGGACTTGCCAGAGTGAGTGTCACTGCCTCCTGAGAACAGCACGCGGACACCGTTAGTAAATATATTATCATTATTATTAGGTATATAACACATATATAATTTAAAATTTATTTATTTATCATCTATTCAATCATGATAGTATATGCATCGATAGTAATAATATATATAAAATTTGTTCTTTTAAAATTATGTTCGGTAATGATACAAATTATGAAAAAAGAAAATACAACTATTATTATCACAGTCCATAACTCAGTTTGGAGTTACGGACAATTCTAGACCAGCTTGTCCTGTTAATTCTCCTAGTAATTCTTAAAATATTGAAAAATGCAATTTTGATTCCTTAAGTCGCGGACACAAATCATCTGATCTCCGCCATAGTCTGCCCAAATCCCAAGGGATCCCTGCCGTGGAGACGACGACTAGCTTATTCACGTTTGGCGTTTTCTTTTTGGCATTCTTTCTCCTTTCTTCGATGGAGACAACAGGAAATTTTGCAGCCAATAAAGAAACATGAAAAGAAAAGTGGGTAGTCCAGTTTAGTTTAATTCCATCAGTGGCTAATATATGAGATGAACGCAGAGGCAGAGGTTGAATTAAAAATGGGGAGACCATGCAAGGTTCGCGTAACGTGGTTTGTTTTGTTGTATTGGCGCGTTCTGTGATTAGAGTGAATATTGAGGAAAAGTCGTATGAAAAGTTACAGGTGTCAGTGACCCCAACCACTGTCCCACGGACAAAAGGAAGAGCGTTGAAAAAGATTTGGTGGCTTGTGCGATTAAAATTTAAAAAGCTAAGAGAGGTTTTATCTTCTATTAAGGGTATTTTTTGGGATAGAGACGGTTAAATTAAAGTAACGATCTTTTAAATCCTTATACGAATCTGACCCTAGAACAGTGATTTAATTTTTTTTATATGAATTATGGAGCTGCGGAGGCCCAAGATCTCTCGCTCTTTTTTTTTTTTTTTTTTTTACTTATGACTCAAACGTTGTTGACTGGTGGCCAATAAAATCAATTTGATTCTAAAAGCCAAAAGAAAAGTAAACATTACGACCACCACACAAAAAAAAAAGTTTTAAAGTTTTATTTGGATGCAAGTTAAAGGATCAAATATTCTTACTTGCGTTATAAAATTTAGATTTTTCTGAAAATACTGTTAGAGACGGTGATGGTTCAATCGCTTTCGGGTTCTTTTTGAGTCTTTTCAGGTCCCCCTTTCATTAATATAAAGAAAGTGTAAGTTTATCGTGTTTCGGAAAAAAAAAAAAATCATTTGTACTACTTTGTGCGTTAAAAAGTGAAAGCTACTTTCATATTTTCAAAGGTACAAGAAATATCACTCCCGACCAGCCAAATCTAGTAGGGTCAAGTTTGAAATTTAAGGACTCGCAGAGTTATCTGTTGTTACTACTTAAGGACTATTGTTACTACCTCCCACAATTGGCAAGTCGGTTTTTTTTTTTTTTTTGTCGCAACAATAACATTTGTATAACACTTGACTTCCCACCCTCGTCAAGACTTAAAATGTTTTGGTGGTCCCAACAACCCATCACAATAGTGTTACCAAAGGCTTAATTGTGGTGGTACCACAATTATGCTACCACCACAATTATGCTATTGTTGAATTGTCAATTGCAATATTCTGTTCACTATTTGTGGATTAGATGTAATATTCCCAAAAAATTAAAAGAAAAAGAAAATCTTGATGTCCACATATACTCTTGGAGAGTACTTTTTTTTTTTTTCTTTGGAAGAGTACTTATTCACGAAAAAAAAAAAAAGATGTAATACACACGACAAGATGCAGTGAATGGAGTTATTTTAGGCTTAAAAAAAAAAGAGAGTTCTCTAAGAATTTTTATTTTAAATAATGTATTTTGCAACAAAAAAAATTAAAATACACCATGTTAAAGAATGTAACCGAGTTTGTGCCTTGCTACAATTTCGAGTGCACATTAGGTTCAAAATTATAGCACAATCCGATTAAATTTCTATTAGGGAAACACAGGCTGCTCTATTTTTTTGGGGGGGTCGTATGGCATTGAAATTGAAAAGGTTTAGGCCAAGGGTGTTTTCTGCGTCCGTTGACAGAGAGTGATACAAATGTGGGGAGTCCTACATATTCTTTTTTTCCTCTTTTTTAAATAGAAGAAAAGTGAGAGTTAAGAAGCAGGAAAGAAAATAAAAAATTTAAAATGCAATAATATTAAATTCTAAAACGTGAGTTTTCTCATCGCCAAGGGGTGCAGTTGCGTTGCCAGATTGTGTTTGGTTGGTATCCCGTCATCGAATAAGACAAGTCAAACGAAGACACATGTGATATCATAATCAACATCGGCAGATGACGCATGGGCTGATGAGAAAGACGATACAGATCCTAATGATTGGAGGGGTTCAGCAAAGCAGAAGAAGCAAAATGGCAATTGACTCTAAATCTCAGCCACAAAAACCAGCCACCATATATACATACACCTTTATTTTTGGCCTCAAACACATGCTACCGCAGTCACGGAATGACAAGGTGATGATATTAAAGAAATGTTCTAGTTGAGTAAATTCTTCATACATTATTATTATTAGTGTGTAATTTATTTTGTTTGTACTACTAATAAATTTAGATGGTGCTATAAAGTATGAATTCAAATTATACGAGGATGACATGCATCCATAATTATCAGTGTAAAAAAAATTAGTTTGTTTGGATAGTGACTCCAATCCACCTTTCAAATGCTACAGTAATTATTTCAAATAATACTCTATCCAAACAAAGTAAATATTATATTATTAGTATATAGAAAGTTAATTCTGCTTTTTTTTTTTTGAAGATAAAAAAAAAATATATATATATATATATATACTCCTTGTTAACGCCTTGGACAGGAAAAACGACGAGAATATGTGGTTTATTTATGTCTTGTCAGTCCATTCATCGTTTCTGTCATTTTCCGGGTGTGCTCTTGCTCCAAAAAGTTTATGTGGCCTCCCACCAAATTACTCAATTAGACAGCCAAAGGAATCCTGCTCTTTGATGATGGCACATATTGCAAATCCGTATATATTCCTTACTTTACTTTCAATGATGCTGATGATGATGATGATGATTGCAAAAGTTTAGTGGCCGCCGGATAATTTGCTCAAGAATCAATCAGGAAACACCGTACACGTGGCCCATGGATCGACGAACGACCGTAAGCATTTGGGATCAATACTTGGATGATGAATCACGTGACTAGCGTTTATTATATTATATCATCACCATATGGACAGACAGCCTATTGAGTCTTTAGGTGGTGAACTGCCAAGCAAGCACCTTCTGTTCTGCCAACAAACTGCATCAGTTCAGTTGGGCAAATTGTAAATTTTTAGTTGGAGGAGGAGCAAAATTTGAATGAAAACAATCGGAAAAAACAAAACAAAATACTATTATAAAAAAAAAAAAAAGGAAGTGAACTTTCGCATCTCTCTTCTATATATGAATGGCAGCTTTTGAAGGGACATGGTCAGAGAAAACGAGACAGCCCACAATTTTCGAGTCCATATAAGAGGAGGATCCACCGACACTGGTAGTCATGGATCGGGCTAAGTGGCCGGGGGACTCCAGGTGAGCCCAACTATCCCCATGTGAGTGAAAACGCATTGGACTGAGAGTGCGGTACCATATGCTTGAGATGTTGCACCATCGGTGTCCCTGCTATTTTAAATTTTTCCCATCCCCACTCACGACGGAAATCTTTACTTGGGAGCGTCGAAACCGAGCTGTCTACTTTCCTCTTGGATGATTCCCGCAAATCAGCAACGAGTCAACTGTAATTCTACTCACTCGGATTGAGCTGAGTTCGCTGTAGTCCGATCGCTCTTCGATTGATTAATCGCTCAGAAAAAAATAATAATAGTTAAACAAGTAAAAAAAAAAAAGAAGAAAATGCAGACTAAGGTCTCAAATGCTAATCGGCATTCCGGAATAGTGATTCGATCTCGGACTTCAACGATGATGTTATCCATGTTCGCCACCTTAGCTTCCTTTTACGTTGCCGGCAGGTGAGTTTCATTTTACCACGAGTCAAATTCTTCACTGAATTAATGTGATTTTTCTTCGGCTAAATTATATAATTTTTGTCTTTTTTCCCTGTATTTTAGTGTTTCTCGTTAATAATCTGAGGCAAATTTGGATATTAGCCTCAGTTGTGAGCAACAAAAAATTACCAAGTATGAGTGGATCGTAGCGGATCCTAGGAAATTGTTGTTTAGCTGAGATGATCGCGGAGCAACTTAATTTCGATGTTACGTTGTATAAATATTTGTTCACAAAAACACCTTCTTTAAAGAGTGTACATGTTTTCTTTTTATTCATTTGTTGTCATTAAATCGTGGATACAGATTATGGCAGGATGCGGAAGAGAGGGTTCTCTTGACAAAGGAGCTTGATAGAATTACTGGGCAGGTACTTAATCTTTTGTTGATGATGAAATTTGCTCCATGAATTGCTGGAATTGTTTAATGGATGGTATGGCCTGTCATTTATTGTCGGAATTACCCTTTTCGGTAAGCTGTCACGACAATGCCGATCCGCTGGTGTAAAAATCAGAATAAGAATATTTTTTGTTGGTTCAAATGTGCAAGTGGAGATCAAATGTGAATTGCTACTGACAGTTGCTTTTGCTGTCTAGGGACATTCAGCAATATCAGTGGACGATACTCTAAAAATTATTGCTTGCAGGTGAATAAGATGATTGTTGTGACATCATCTATGTCTACTATTACTTACAATTCTAATGAAAATATCCTGTTCTCAGGGAACAAAAGAAGAAATTGTCTGCACTGGAGATGGAACTGGTGGCAGCTAGACAGGAGGGATTCGTTTCCAGTCACTTGCCAGAGAAAAATAGTATTTCTAATAAAAGGCCTCTAGTAGTGATAGGAATACTTACAGGATTTAGTCACAAGAGCAAGAGAGATGCTATACGCAAGGCTTGGATGGGAACTGGTATTTGTTACAGATCCATCTTCGTTTATCTATGCACTTTTAGTAGCTCTAGTTTCTGAGGCTCTTGTACCCATTTGGTTTTTGTGGATAGAAGTAGGGCTTAGTTCTGTCAGTATTAACAGTGCGGCGGCTTCATGGTCTTGTCTTGTCAATCATCTATTTCTAGGGTAGACCAAATGAATTCACGTATCAGATGGACCTGTTAAAAGATTGGAAGAACAAAAGATCTAGATGATTTATTTGGCAGACTCTAAAATACTATAGCCCTGATAAGAGGTTCTACTTTTGTATTCTCTGAAGGTTGCCTCCCTGTTAAAGGATTGGAATACAGAAAATTAGAAGCATAGACGTGATTATCGGTGTATAGCATCTTCATTTTGCACCTGCTAAGTATGCACTCTCTGAATTCAGCCCCCCCTCCCCCTTTCCCCCTTCTCTCACACATTCTGGGAGAGGAAAAAGACTGTCGTCTTGTCAAGATGTTCCAACCTGTCCAAGAAGGAAGATATCAGTGCCATGATTTATTACCTAAAGCTTAATTATATATGTGTGTTCCTGGATCCACTTAATCTTCATGTCACTCCGTTGCAGGATCCATTATTGGAAAAATCCACTAACAAATCATATTGCCAACATGGAATTTTTTTGGTGGTCAGTTTTGTATAATTTCTTAGGTCAACTTCATGGGCTCAAAGGGCTGACTTTATTGATGTTCAGATGTCAGTGTTTATACTCTTGATCCTGGATTCCTTCTAAAAGGATTTTCATGCATGCTTTTGTAATCTCATGTCTGAGATAATGTAATAAAATAGAAAAGGGAAAAATATAAATGTTCTAAAATTTCAGTAATTATTTAAACCAAACAAAGTATTACCATTTTTTTTCCTTTTGATATAGTTTATGTGACGTTTTATCATGTAAGGCTTTTATAATAATTAGCTTAAATGTTCACATTTATAAGTTTTCTGTTATGTGGATTTTCAGTTGTAATTGTTTGCGTAATCCTACATGTTATACCTCTTTGCAGGTAAAGTGTTGAAAAAGATAGAGGATGAGAAGGGAATAATTGCACGTTTTGTTATTGGGAGGAGGTATCATTTCTTTTGTTTTGCCATTTTTCATTTCTTTTTCTTCAACTGTTCTCTCTTGGAAGTCATTCTAGTGGTGGCTGTGAGTCTGCGATTTGAATTATCTTGCAGTTCTAACCGTGGAGACAGCTTGGACAGAAGCATTGACAATGAAAATAAAGAGACCAATGATTTTCTCATTCTTGTATGTTACATCAACTCATTGATTCTTTTCAGAAATTACTTGTATTCTTACATCTTGTTGTCCCTTTTTTTTGGGTTTTTCATAACAGTCAGTATACTATTTGGTTGATGCTTCTTGCGCATGCATCACTTATGAAAATTTTTTTTTTTTTTTTTGGTGTTCGAGGGGGGGGGGGGGAGGAGAGAGGAAATGTTAGCTATTGGTTAGATTGTGAATGCATAATGACATCTTTACTTTTATTTTTGGCAGGAAAACCATGTTGAGGCACCTGAGGAACTGCCAAACAAGACAAAGTCATTTTTTGCTTATGCTGCAGAAAATTGGGATGCTGACTTCTTTGCAAAAATCAATGATGATGTCTATTTGAATATAGGTAATTATTAGACAAAACTGCAGGCAAAACTTTCTAGCGTTCAGTAGATCTTACTTTAAATGTCGGCATACATATTTTGTTGGGATGCTAAACTTGCATTACTTAAACATTGATGTGGCCTTTGAATTTTATTTATTCATCTTTTTCTCCACCCTGTTCTTCATTTTCTCAACTTTTTTAGAAAGGTAGTGGTGGGAAGGCAGAAGTTGAAAAGGGGATGGGACAGTGTGGATCACACCCTCATTGTGAGACAAGATACTGTGATTCTAACCATTAGGCTATGTTTGTACTCATGAACGCCTCACCTTTTGAATTCTATAATGGGGCTGAAATAATTTCAGATCAGGATTGTCGCTGTCAAATATAAAAGGCTTTTCCTACATTTGTGCTGCAGATGCATTAGGAAATACACTCGCTGGATATGTGGACAAGCCTCGTGTATATGTTGGCTGTATGAAGTCAGGCGAAGTGTTTTCTGAACAGTGAGTGGGCCACAAATTTTGATTAGTGAAAAATGGTTTCAGAACTGAGTGGCTACAGATTTTTTTTTTTTTTTTAAAACTCTGTTATGAGTCTGTATTCATGGAGTTGTCTTGATTGGAACTTTGGCAGGAGCCACAGGTGGTATGAACCAGATTGGTGGAAATTTGGGGATGGAAAAACGTAAGTTGTATCATTTATTACCTTCAATATTGCTAAAAAAATTAAATTACTGCTGATAATATTATTTCACTTCTCCAGAACTTGCTAGGTAAGAGAGTTTACTAAACATCCTTTATAATGTGATTATATTCTGCTTGCTTGTCTACTTCCTGTCTCTACTGAGATGAAATTCCATTTTCATTTTGGGAAATTCTCTGCTTCACAAATTTTGATAGTGACATAATGAATATGCACATTAAATAGAAGTTTGAGATCTTTTGCAAATTTATGATGCTAATATCCTTTTCTCTCTGTAACGGAGATGAAAGCTTCAGTGGTCTGTTCTTATTGAGGAAGCGATAAAATTTGTTTAAGTTTTTCGCTGAACTTTGAGCTCAATTTCATGAATGATGCATCCTTTCTGGGTCAGAAATGTTTTGAATGTGGATACAGAAGAAAATAGTTGGGTGTGTGGGACTGTGGGAGTTAGCGATGCACAGACAAATAGGATTGTTAGTTAACTCCGACTTCATATTCGCTGAAACGGAATGCTTATATGAAGAATCAAATCCTCTTCAACTTTCTATACCAAGCAGTGAAACTCTAGAGTTGTTAGTGTGATTGGTTTATGCACATGTGCACAAGTGGCCTTACTAGTCATGTAATGGGTGTGGAAATAGTTTTTGTGCTTTTGCTAATTTCCTATATAAACAACATTTTACTTCTGTTTCCACCAGGTACTTTCGCCATGCATCAGGTGAAATGTTTGTTGTATCCAAGGCTTTGGCTAAGTTTATCTCAGTAAATAGGTAAGCTCTTACGCTAAGTTGTCTATATCCAGAACAATCCAAATACTGAATACTAGTTCTTTGGCTGGTAGATCCATTCTTAGAGCCTATGCTCACGATGATGTTACTGTTGGTTCTTGGTTTATTGGTGCTGATGTCAAATATGTAGATGAGAGGAAGTTTTGCTGCTCATCTTGGTCAACAGGTCTGCGCCTGTGTACCCTAATATATTGAAATCGATTACTACAGTGTGATTTTTAATCTTTCTTGCTACTGGGACCAGACTTGAATGCTGCTTGATTCTTGCAGGAGCCATATGCTCGGGAGTATGATGTGGATGTTAAGGAAAAACAAAAAGAAAAGAATAATAATGAAATGGTCTGACATACTTGATGGATTTTGAAGCAGCCAGTTAGCTACCTGCATAGAAGGTCGGAACTGGAATATAGTTCTTGTGGTTCATCATGGTAGAGGGTCTTGTAGAAGAAAGGAAACTGTCTTCGATACCGACGTCTTCATGCAACATTACCGTAGCTAGGCATAGAATATTAGGATCGTGCAAGTTGAAGAGTGTTGGTATTCTGCTGGGCAGTGCCAGTAGCTGAATGCAGATAAAGAAAAGGTTAATTGGAAAATGATTAAGCAGTGAGATGAAGGTGGGAAGTATGATGCCTTTTTTCCGATCATCGTGCATTAGGGGTAGGGGGTGAGCAAATACGGTTCGTACCGAATTCAAATTCAATTCGGTAATTTGAAATCGAATATTTTTAATTTGGTAATTTGAAATCAGGTATTTGGTAATTTGGTACAAATTCGATGCATACCAAATTCACCGAATTCTAATATGGTATGAAATAGTTAATGAGATTATGAAATTGGTAATAACTGATTTCGTATTCAAATTCGGTAATTGAAATAGGATACCGCATTACCGCATTTGAATACCAAATTGGTATATAAAATTATATAATATATAGATAAATGCTATTTAGTATTAGTATATACTACTAATATATTATTATATTATATAGGTAAATGCTATAATTAGTATATGGTATTATCATCATATCATGTACTTATAATAATAAAAATATATAATAATGTACAATATATTATTTTAGTATTTGTTAATTGTTATATGACTATAATAATACAAATATATGGTAATACATAACAATATAAGATAACTACTTATTATTTTATACATGAGTAACATGACTAGAATTAGATAATAATTAATACATATCTAATTAATACATATATGTATAATACTAAATATTAAATAATAAACATAATTAGTAATTAGAATTTAGATATTGGTAATTTGATACATCATTGATCATTCATGTTTGAATTACTGAATATTTGAATGCGTAATCTATAACTTGCAAGTATTAGTGTGCTCTAAATTTATATTACATATTTAACATAAAAATTCATATTATCTATTCACTAATCTTAAGGTTTTAAATATATAGACAAGACAACTAAGCAATGTAAGTGAAAGCGTGTGAATTGCAAATCAATGTATTAGTGTATTGACTTTTACAATAACATATGTAAGTAAATAAGTTTTATTTTAATTTGAAATAAATTATAAGTTTGTAACTAATATAACTTATCACTAATCATTGTAATTTGTAAGTTTGTAACTAATATTATTTATTATTAATCATTGTAAATTATAAATTCATAAATTATCACTAATTATTGTACAGTCTAAGGTTTATTCTAGTTTAAATTAATCACTTTTTATGTGTTCCTTAAATCATAAACTAAGGATTCTAGGTATAAGTGATCAAATAAATGCCAATTAAATTAAACCACAAAATGATTAGAACATAAGTAATGTGTTAAATTATGAATAAATTTGGGGATCAAATCAGTAATAATTTTTAAAAAATTAGTTTTTTTTAATAGATGAATTCGGTCTATTACCGTTTTCGAATTTCAAATCGATTGCGGAGTGAATTCGATTATGACCAATTCGAAATTGAAAACGGTTTAGATTTCTATAGGTCTGAATAACCGAATTCATTACACAGAATTACCGCTTTTGCACCGAATGCACACCCGTAATTAGGGGTTCACGTTGACATAATCTTTGGGAGTCTCAAAGTTTTTTTTCCCCCTCTGGATATAATTGGTTTGAGAGTTATGTAAAATTATAAGTATGACATTGTTTATTTATTCATTTTTCATAATTATCACTTATGTACCAGCATTTGGAAAACCGGAATGCTGCTGATTGAGCACAAAGACATCATAGCAAAACCAGCCACTGTCTCAGTTACCTCTTACCCCAAAAAAAAATAAATAAATAAATAAAAACAAAGGGCTTTTTCTGTTACATTATTTAAATCAATTGACAATTTGTGCAGTTGTTCAAGTATTTTCAAAGAAAGAAGGTTAATAACTTTTAAATTTGCATCTTGCGAGTGAAATATTCAGAATCATAATCTAACTATATAAAAGCGGGAGTTGGAGAATGAACAGTGCAATTTTGGTCGAGCGGTTATCACGTAATTTTGGGCAACGTTGAGGGCAATTCTCAAGCGGCATTTTGGTCTTTTGCCATGTGGCTGGCTCTGGCTTTAGGAAGAATCGGTTAAGCGTCAGAAATTAGAATTGCCGATGCTATTTCATTGATTCTCTTTTGCTGGAAAAAGACAACAATTATTAAGATGGCTCTTGGCATTACATTTCAATAAAAAGGTCTGGCTCTGGCTGAGGCTTGTTAGCTGTATTATTGTGCTATGTGGTGCTACAGGGGCTAGGACTCACAAAAGAGAGCTGTACCTCTACGCTCTCTATTGTAAGTAATGCCGCGGGCCTTGTTTTAGAGCTCTGCCATATGCCCTTTTATCTTCTCCAATACAACCCACCCGGGCCGCCTCACCAAGAAAACCAAAAAAAAAGAAAAAAAAAGAAGAAAATCTCTGTCAGCCTCTCCAATATATATATATATATATATATATATATATATATATATATATAATCTAAATATATAAAAGGGAGAATTGGATAATGAATAGCTCCATTTTGGTCAAGCGATTATGCTGTAATTCTTGAGCCAGAGAGAAAAAATAACAAGTCCAACATTGTCATCATATAAGTAAGCAAAATCGGTTAAGATGCCATAGGTTTCAACTAAAAATGGTTTCTAATTCTATAGCTTTTTCAAACGTACAATTAGAAGGATATATATTAGTCTATATAATTATTGGAAAAATTTTAATTCCCTTATTTTTATTATTATACTTTTCATTCTATATATATATTCTATAAACATGAGCTTACTTTTGTCTTCTATGTGTGCTACATTATGAGTCTATTTCCTTTTTAAAAGAATAATTAGTTTGTTATTTTACTAATATATCCATGTTTAGTGTATATATAATTATTATAAAATTTTTTAACATATTTGTTTTCTCTAATGGCTCTACATTGCTGTAAATTGAAAAGCGATATTGTGTGCTAATATTTTTACATTATTTATTTAAACATGTAACATTAATTAGACTATTTCTTACATTTGAAAATTAAAGTACTCTAAATTTGAAAAATAATGTAATAATACATGTCTTTTACTGTGGATTAATGATCTAATATTAATGGAAAAAGAAATAGGCGTATATTTATTGAACTTAGTGAGTAATAGAGATATACATGTCTAACAATATAAAGGAAAAGTTTCCCTATGCACAGTGATTTTTTTTGTCAAGCAGTTATCCTGCAATTGTTATTGGATGTTAGGGCTATTTTCATCAATTATTATTTTTTTTTAACAGCTGCTATAGTTTTGGTGTATTTATTGGACATGTTGATTGAATTCATAATTGGCGGTATAAAAAGTGAATCCTATGAAAGTTGATTTTTTATGGTTAATTATTTGCTTTTGAAGTGTTCTGGAAATGCAAAATTACCAAGGAAATAATTGATAAATTGTTGTTGGCTTTAGTGACTTTAAAAATGGCCTTTATTACTGTGACATGAAATAAAATTGATAAATGTTCTGTAAATGCACAATTATTGAGGAAACAATTAATAAATTATTGTTGGGTTGACATAGAATAAAATTGTTAAGTGTTCTATAAATGCACAATTATTGAGGAAACAATTAATAAACTATTGTTGGCTTTAGTAACTTTAAAAAATGGGTTTTATTATTGTGACATGTGGTGATTAATTTTTAGCAATGTCAAGTTCTATGGTTCAAGAGAAAGACAAGTCTCTCCCTAGTGAGAGAAAATTTCTCTCTATTTTAGAGAGAGGAAATCCCCCTGTTGTGGGTGTTCATACCTTTTACGCTTTCCTGCACTTTTCCCAACAAATTTCAAATTCTGTCCTATTGGTTTCTGGCGCCATGAGTAACGACCTTCCTTTAATGGAAACTTAACGTTTTAGCTGTATCCATTTATGGCAATGTACTGGATTTTAGTTTTTCCTGGGATAAGCGTTGGACGATCTAGGATGGCAGCTAAACCAATCATCCTTTTTATCTTTCCTTGAATAAGATGTTGTTTCTTTTCTTTTTTCAGTTTATTTGTTGAGTTCGGTTTGTGGTTTTGATTCCAATTCTGTGTGTTCTGTTTGTGTGTTTTCAGGACTGTTTTGATCTTGGATCTGTTTGGGGGTACTCAAAATCGCTGGATAATTCTGGCTGGATCTGCTCTGGGAACTTCCGGTAATCTCAGTAAGAGGTCTGTGGGGAGATTAATGGAGGGGATTGAGGAGGTATTGCGCAGGTTCAGACTATCAGAGGAGGAAAGAGTGGGTGTTCAGCTGGAGGAAGAGGAAGTGGCTGCAGGAGTCTTGGAATGCAAGTTAAGTTTAATAGGGAAAGTTTGGGGAGATAAGCAGGCTCACATTGGGGGGATTCGAAGCTTTGTGAATAATATGTGGTCTCAGGTAAAGGTCCTACAAATTGTGGAGATTGGGCGTAATTTGTTTCAGTTTATGTTCAATAAGGAGCAGGACATTGAGATGATTTTGAGTAAGAGGTCATGGATTTTTGATGGACAACCGTTAGTGTTACTACGATGGGAACCTGGTTTGGAGGAAAATGAGAAAATGCTACGTAAGACATTGATATGGGTACAGATCTGGAATATTCCAGTTCATTGGGCTACGAAGGAGGCTGGTAGGAAGATTGGGAGTATATTTCAACAAGTAAGGGAGGTGATTATTCCACAGAGTGGAGGTAAGGAAGGAAAACATTTGAAGGTTCTTGCTGAAATTGATTTGTCTATTCCTTTACCTAGGGGAGTTATGGTAAATAGTTTTGGAGTTAAGAGATGGATCGAATTCAGATATGAGAAGTGTCCAGATTTTTGTTTTGGATGTGGTTTAATTGGTCATGGCGAAAAAAATTGCGGCAAAAGAGGACTGAATACTGATAAGGCATCTCAATATGGGAATTGGATGAGAGCCAGCTATCCTAGAAGTCCAACCAGGAGGCCTAGGTCTGGAAACGGGAATGAGGATAGGGGAGAGGAGGAAAGTGTGAATCCGGATGGTAGGGATGGAGGGAAGGAGGGGGAACGGTTATTGCTAACATACACAGATGAGTTCCATAAGAAGGAGGTTTCTCAACAGGCTGGTCAGGTGGAGGTTATGAGTAGTAGGGGGATGATGAAGGAGGGTGGTGTGAGGAAGGGAAGGGGACCTGTTGTGACTGGGGAGGTGAGAGGGGAAGGGACACAGGGGATGAATGGTATAGCTGAGGGGGGGACACGGAATGTGGTGGAAAGGGAGGATGATGGGAGGCTTGGGGGGCAAGGGGTATAGCAGGGGAAGGTTGAGTTGGAGG